AGTCGGCTGCATACAATTCCATCAGAAAGCCCCTTTGTCTTTCTGGTTCATCTGCTAAGGGCAACAACAGGTTTGGCTAACATACAGTGGGGCAAAAAAGAATTTAGTCAGCCACCAATTGTGAGAGCTCTCCCACTTCAAATAATGACAGAGGTCTGTAATTTTCATCATAGGTACACTTCAACTGTGAGAGACAGAATGTTAAAAAAAAGGAATTCACATTGTAGGATTTTTAAAGAATTTATTTGTAAGTTATGGTAGACAATAAGTATTTGGTCACTTCAAACAAGGAAGATCTCTGGCTCTCACAGACCTGTAACTTCTTCTTTAAGAAGCTCTTCTGTCCTCCACCTGTTACCTGTATTAATGGCACCTGTTTGAACTCGTTATATGTATAAAAGACACCTGTCTACAGCCTCAAATAGTTAGACTCCAAACTCCACTATGGCCAAGACCAAAGAGCTGTCGAAGGACACCAAGAAAATAATTGTAGACCTGCACCAGACTGGGAAGAGTGAATCTACAATAGGCAAGCAGCTTGGTGTGAACAAATCAACTGTGGGAGCGATTATCAGAAAATGGAAGACATACAATATCAATGATAATCTCCCTTGATCTGGGGCTCCACGCAAGATCTCATCTCGTGGGGTCAAAATTATCATGAGAACGGTGAACGGTGCTCAAAAATCCCAGAACCACACGGGGGGACCTGGTGAATGACCTGCAGAGAGCTGGGACCAAAGTAACAAAGGTTACCATCAGTAACACACTACGACGACAGGGAATCAAATCCTGCAGTGCCAGACGTGTCCCCCTGCTGAAGCCAGTGCATGTCCAGGCCCGTCTGAAGTTTGCCAGAGAGCACATGGATGATACAGCAGAGGATTGGGAGAATGTCATGTGGTCAGATGAAACCAAAGTAGAACTGTTTGGTATAAACTCAACTCGTCGTGTTTGGAGGAAGAAGAATACTGAGTTGCATCCCAAGAACACCATACCTACTGTGAAGGGGGTGGAAACGTCATGCTTTGGGGCTGTTTTTCTGCTAAGGGAACAGGACGACTGATCCGTGTTAAGGAAAGAATGAATGGGGCCATGTATCGTGAGATTTTGAGCCAAAACCACCTTCCATCAGTGAGAGCTTTGAAGATGAAACGTGGCTGGGTCTTCCAGCATGACAATGATCCCAAACACACCGCCCGGGCAACAATGGATTGGCTCCGTAAGAAGCATTTGAAAGTCCTGGAGTGGCCTTGCCAGTCTCCAGACCTCAACCCCATTGAAAATCTGTGGAGGGAGTTGAAAGTCTGTGTTGCTCGGCGACAGCCCCAAAACATCACTGCTCTCGAGAAGATCTGCATGGAGGAATGGGCCAAAATACCAGCTACTGTGTGTGCAAACCTGATATAGACCTATAGTAATCGTTTGACCTCTGTTTTTGCCAACAAAGGTTATATTACAAAACATTGAGTCAAATTTTTGTTATTGACCAAATGCTTATTTTCCACCATAATTTATAAAAAGATTTTTTATAAATCCTACAATGTGAATTCCTGATTTTTTTTCACATTCTGTCTTTCACAGTTGAAGTGTACGATGAAAATTACAGACCTCTGTCATTATTTTAAGTGGGAGAACTTGCACAATTGGTGGCTGACTAAATACTTTTTTGCCCCACTGTATAAGGTAAGACCCATAACACACTTTTAAATGTGCTTTTTCATTTTTGTATGAGCAAACAATGCGGGCATGAAACATTTTCTGCTGTAGCCAAACAAAGAGTGAATAAGCCGCTCTATAGGTCCTGTTGATTTATATGAAATATATGTTCATCTGATTGGGGTGAAGTCAGTGTCTCACCAATCACCAACCTCACCGCACGTCACTGGTGTTTAGTGCTTAAAGCACAGAGAGAGATGAAGAGTGAGGAGGACTCCAGCAGCAAAAAAGCCTTTTCCAGGTGGAAATATCGGCAATATTTTGAACTCACTGAGGTTAAAGGTAAAAATTTGCACGTCAAGTGCACATTATATTCCAGAACGAAACAAAAAAGTAACGCAATAGTTACTTTTACTGGTAACTAGTTACTTTTATAGTGGAGTAACTCTGTTAGACTCAGTTACTTTTTGGGAGAGGTAACTAGTAACTATAACTAATTACTTTTTCAAAGTAACGTGCCCAACACTTCTTTGGAGTAAGCCATCGGTCTCGTCATGGTGCATCATGATTACTACTTAATTGAATTATAGTATTTTTCTAATGTCAGGTTTTCATGTAACCTACCACTTTTTTAAGCATCGTCTCGCTGTGCTAAATCAGATCTTTTTTTAATTAGTTCATAAAAATGCTTATTACAACATACAAGTTGTATTATAATCCTTAATTTAATTGAAAACTTGAGCTCATTGATTCATGAATTCAGGCCGTAAAAAGTGCTGAGTAGAGTGCTCCTCCAATCATAGAAAAGGCTGCGTCCTCTAGCTTCTACAGCGCTGGTAAACAAGAGCAGAATGGCGGGAGAAAGTGCCTATATACCTGCTGTAACTGCAGACACAGCAAAACAGCCTGAACGATGCAACAGTGAGAAAGAGAAGAGGGAACTAAAGCGAAAAAAATATCAAAGAAGAAACCAAGCCCGGGTGAACATAGTTAGCTTACATCGTATCCACTGGACTCCGTTGGTCTCTCCCATAGACTGTACCTGCGGGACCGCCTCGGACTACATTCAGGCGCGAAACTAGCTGTATTCTTTCAGTTATATATTTTGTTAGCAGTGCATTGCTTTTGTACCATTTCATCAGTGATTGTTGTACAGCTTAAGTTGCACTCATGCCATTGATTGCATACTGTATGTATCAGATCGCAAATAAAACTAGATGGCTTTGTCGGAAGAGAGTGTAGGGGAAATGAGAAGCCTGCGAGCGAGTTTAGGGGCGGTGCTAAACATTCAAACCTTGCAGAAACAGGTATAGCTCCTTTAAAGAGCAACTAAACACCAAATCAACTTTTTTTAACTCATAAACTGCATAAGTATGTTTATTGTAGTGCTGTCTACATATCCTGGTCATTTTTTTGACATTTTAGTTCAAATTAGATAAAATATCACTTTTGAGCCAAAAAACGCTGTGTGGTGCCCTCTCCCCCTTTCTGGTGGTACTACATTTGAATTTGGTTCTGGCCTCTCCATTGACTCTGAAGTTCTCTATGACATCAGTTGTTTTGTGTGACGTCAGTCTGTCAGAGCCAGTGATGTGAACCCATTCATCTCTCACACACGCCCCAGCTGCAGTTTGGAGTATTCTGGCGCCATCTAGTGGATTCAAATTAAATTACATGAGTCATTCTGAGATTATTGAGTGTGATTAGGTTCAGGTGTGTAGCTTTACAGTTATCTTAGTGTGTAAACAAGGGTGGAATGAGACTTTCTGGTCTGTAAACTATTGCTTTAAGCAGCAATGACAACTGTTTTTTTTTTTTGTGTGACAAGTGAGCTGTCAATCACAGCCCAGACCACGCCCAACTCTAAGCCCCCCTTCTTGTCCCTTGGTCCTCCAGGCAACGCCCTTTTTAGAGAAAATTTGCAAATCTTCATGTGGGCGGAGTAAGGCTGGGCACAGGTGTTTAGTCGCTCTTTAACATAAGTTTTGCCCCAAAGAAGACATGTCAAAAAACACTGGCAAGTCCAAGTTTTTAATAAAGGACTTTTACAATTGACTTCAGAGTCTCGGAGTCCCCATCAGTCTTTGGTATGTGTTTGACCTGCTTCCCGGTTCCAAACTAAATTATTCAAATGGAAGATTTCATAAGTTCAGCACTCAATCAGGAACCAAAAGCCTTCGTCACAAGCATGAGTCCCTTTGCTGCACACTCATTTCAAACTTCTTGGCTGTTCTGCCTGTGTTGCATCACTCTCCGTCTACAGAGAAAACAGTGGAAAATTGTTGCGTTTTGGAATATAGTGAATAAAGTGTCCTTTTTTTCTGGTAAATGTCAGAGACGAGAGCTGACAGAACCTCTGAGCCAGGCTTCATCAACAAAACAGGTCTGAGAATGTGGGACTAGTATTTAAACACTGAAAATACTAAAAAGGAGATCACAGATTCAGAAAAATTAGAAAATACCTTTCATCTTTGACTTTGAGGCAGAACAGCCAAGAACTTTGAAAAGGCCCTCTCAGGCTGAAACGCGTTGGTGAGGATGTTTTTAACTTAAATGAGCCAAATTGAGTACGCAAAAGGGTGTTTTATTTTTCCCTGTTGTTTGCTAAACTCTAATTTAAACCATCTTTATTGACATTTTTATTGAAGTTTTCTCTTGGTCGTCCCACTGTTGAAAAGGCCCTTTTCTTTTGTTTCTTTTTTTTGAGAAGGGCTTTTTCTTCACAGGTGTGGTCAGGTTCTGCTCTGTGTCCCAAATCCTGGGTCCGGGTTCTGAATCCTGGTCTACATCTCAGAGTCCAAATGCGAGAAGCATAATGTAAACAAACTCTGAGCTTTGATATGCTTTTAGTACTAGACCCGGGTCGTGGTACAGGTCTTTGATCTGCTCCTAGTACATGGAGGAAGAACACACATCTGGACCTGGGTCCTGTACCAAGGACAGACAAGTGTCCCAATACTTTGAGCAGACAGTGGGAGGAGCTTCCAGCTGTGGGAGGAGCATATAAACTGTTCTCATATTTGTTCTTTAAATCACTGTTTAGTTTGTTAGATGCAGACTGGTGTTGGTGCAGACAGTAAAGGGTTCTAGTAGTTGTTAATGAGAATATAGTTGGAGCGCTGTGAGTGCAGGGAGTAAAGGGTTCTAGTAGTTGTTAATGAGAATATAGTTGGACTGGTGTGAGTGCAGGGAGTAAAGGGTTCTAGTAGTTGTTAATGAGAATATAGTTGGACTGGTGTGAGTGCAGGGAGTAAAGGGTTAAGTCTCTGAGTGTTTAAAAGCACCGACGCTCTCGCTGTGCAGCAGACTGCAGCTGCTCTGGTCTGGATCAGATCTCAGACATGAAGCCTCTGTCTCTGCCCTGTGTGGCTCTGCTGCTGATGTTAGGCCTGAGCGGAGCCTGGACCGGACTGGGGTCTCGACCTGTGACCGGGTCTGCACCAGGACTGACCCAGCAGAGCGGACTGAACATGAGGAGGAGTTACAGCAGAGCAGTGGTGAGATACCATCATCATATTCTTAAACATGATACAGATTATCTTTAATTAAGACAGGATCAGGATGAACAACCCTCCCATCTGTAGGCAGGAGTGGGTAATTGTATTCTGCTATTAAAATGTTATATCTACCATGGCACAATCTAATAAAAGGAAAATGAAGAAGTCCGTTTTAAAAAGGCACAAAGAATTGGGTTCATTTTGTGTCTTATGTGCTTTAAAGGGACAGTCTGTAATCTGCTCTTAGTGGTCTAAGAAAGTCATTACAATAACACTGCTGTGACACGTGTAGCTCCTAAACACTGATTACTGATGTAATCCACCGCCTGAAATTTAGACAAAACTGTACAAACTCACATACTATTTACATCTAAAGTGTTTTGTTTTTTTAAATCTCCCGCTGGGTTTTTGAGTGGTTCATTACTGACGCAGGAGGGTCTAAGGACAGTGATGATCCGGACATTTCTGCCCATTTATTAACATTTCTGAACAGTGGTCACCCCACACCCTACCTTCCAATGGCTCCTATGTGTTTGTTATTATTGCATTTCCTGTGTTTTAACCGTTTGATTCTCTGATCTGTAATTGGCGAATCCACAAGTTTGTAAAGTCTTCCGAGATTCACAAATTCTTGTTTGTGAATTTCGTTATTAAAAAAAGAAAATAAATAGAGCCAAAACCAGGTAAGTATCCTACTGGCAACTCAAATGTGACCTATTATCTGAGGGACGCATGCGCACCACGTAGATTTAATTTAATTTGAAGACATTTCAAACTGTCTCTTTAAATAATATAATTCTAAGACCACACAAGAAGCACACTACATATACATATATAAGTATGTAAAGATCATTAGCCAAAGATATATAACAATAACAGCAACAGTTTCTATTGCAAAGCACTTAAAGTGATTGTCTGGAGTTTGTCAGAAAAAAGAGAGAGAGGATACATGATTTGAAAAAAAACCGACCCAAGCTCCCTCCCCTTTCCTTTCCGATTGGTCTACGCCTACGTTTCCGTAACAATCAATCAACTCATTTGAATTTTAATCATAGAACACATTATACATATACATATACATTATTAATACACATGCACAGAGGTTTTCAGAATTATTTGTTAACGTTTCATGACAAAAATAATGTTTTAATGCACAAAAAAAGCGATTGCGGTAAACCCGGAAGTAGCTATTATTGTTAATTGAACATTTTAGGACACAACTGCAGAGGATTTGATTATGGATATAGGTTCAGTTTATAAATGGGTAACTCAGCGCGGATGTTCAGAATTCAGTTCTGTTCAGTTGTTCATGTAGTTTCAGAGCCTAATGGATGCTTGATTTGGAGGCTCCTTGAACACAAACAACTGAGCATGCACGCAGCTACGAGCATGAGCGCCGATGATTGACAGCCCTTGGCATCACTTAATCGGTTAAACTGGACGGCATTGTGGATTTTGAGCTATAGCTAAGAGAAGGGAAGGCGGGACTTACCCGTAATATTAGAATTCATAAAATGACTTATTCTATATCAACATATAAGGCCTTGAAGTCAATTTAATACAATTCTTAAAATTTGTAATTCATTTAGAGTTCCAGGGCCTTCAATCCATTTTCTTTATCTTTATTTGTTCATCCGAGGGAATCCCTAGGCTTTCCTCAGGCGTTCTTTTGGAGGGACATTCCCAGAACACCTCCTCAGTGATGCGTCCAGGAGGAATGAGCTCCTCGTTCCATCTTTAAGGAAGCCCCAGCTACTCAGTGTCTGCGATCTCATCCTTTCAGTCATTACCCAAAGCTTATGACCAGAGGTTAAAAGGCCCATGTGTGGATTGCAAAGCAGACATGAAAATACTGTTTTACATTTGGGGGAGCTGAAGTTAAATGAATGATGATTGCTGATTTTCTCAAATTCTTAATTCTAGAGGTTCAAAGCTTTAAAATGTATGGCATGTGGATATTCGCAGAGCTGAAGTTGGCTGAAAGGCATGTTAACTCGTGTTTATGGTCATGTTTATGGTCTTGTTTATGGTCTTTACTTCTCTAATGGTGGATTATTTGTCTCGCCAAACCAATGTCAAAAAGTACAGGTAAAAGTAAACTACCTAAGAAAATCCACAGCAGGGATTGTCAGCAGACAGAACAAATACATCTCCAACAGCTGACATGACTGTACAGTATTATTTTACATTTATAGCAGCAGCTGATGTATTGAAATCTGAGTGCTTTATGATATATAAATATATCAAAGCATATATATCATACCTTCCTCTTTCTGAGCTGCACATGGAAGGACACTGTGGATAGATACTAGACTGTATATAGATTATAACCATATAGATTATAGGGAAGTGCTCATAGTGAAGATTTGCTGAAGTATGTTTTGGTTTATTATCAAACTTTTATTTAACCAGGAAAGTTTTTATCCCACTCCCCCAAAATCAGTGCTTTTTACATTTGTATACTGTCTTAAATGTCATCATTGCGCACATTACAGCAGAATAAAGGGAGGAAATAAGAGCACTCAGATTGCACACATCAAACAGGATGTATTATTTAAGACAATACTCATAGCAACAGGCATAGCAACAGTCTTCTCCTGTTATGGCCCGGAAAAAAATCTCATATAAGGATATTGGCTTCAACTAGCTCCAAATCGGATAGATTTGAGTTGTGGTAGTAAATTGCGGGGCTTTGACAGAGACAGGTCTGGGAGCAGCTGGTTTTGATAGTTTCACATGTAAATCATGGAGAACTGTCCTGACGGCCGAGTGGAACATTCTGCTTCACTGGTAATGAGCGTCTGGCTGCAGTCTGAAAATTCAGACTGTCCAAACACACACACACAAAAACACCAATCTGAGCCACGGAGAAATATGCAGCACAAATATTCTATCGCAAGTTTTAGTTTTAGAGTCAAATACTAGTAAAAGACTATAACATCCTATATTATGTTTTTTGCAAAAACAGCAAATTATGTTGTTGAATAAAATGTAAATCTCTGACTAAGGGTAAGGGTTTGTTGTTTAGAGCTCTTAAACAGGCTTAGAAATTCAAGGATCTTGCATGTGTCAAAATTAGGCAATTAACAAGAGCAAATTAAGGTAGCATTCTGGCCTTTGAGCAAGAAGGTCCTGGGTTCGAATCCCGGTCGGTACAGGGCCTTTCTGAGTGGAGTTTGCATGTTCTTCCCATATCTGCGTAGGTTTCCTCCGGGTGCTCCGGTTTCCCCTAGCACTAAAAACATGCACAATAGGAAAAATCCACCAGCTGCGGTAGTCCTGACCAAGCCGACTATCAACTTCTGGAGATGGGTCCTCGGCCACTGTACTATGGCAACCACTGCTCCTGACGCAAGTCTAAGAGGCTTCAGGATGGATCAAATGCAGAGGATAAATTTCCCTAAGAAGACAAAGCACACATTTACTGCATTTCTGCATTTTGACCATTACATCTGGTCATGGAAAAGTCTTGGAAAAGTTTCAAGCTCAGTGGGATTGTCCTTGTCGACTTTAAATATCATCCGAGCTTCATCACAGAAATTGGCGACACCTTAAAAACAGCAATCTGAGCATTCTTCACTTTTGCATTATTCTGTTCAATTGAGAGTTGTCTATTAAACCGTTCAGTCGCCGGTTTTTTGTCTCTTTGCATCAGGACTTTCTGTAGTTTATAGCAGCTCCGGCAAAAGTAAATATCTGAAAACTGGGCATTATCACAGACGAAGAATAATAGATTTAAAACGTTTATAAAGTTTATATTACAGAAATGTGCTTTCTGTTACGATGTCTGATCTTTTTACTTACAACATGAGGCTCACTTCACAATAGAGTTTTGACAAGAGCTTCCAGTTGGATCACAGAAACGAGACAGACAATAAACCATAAATCAACACTGAGTGGAGTAACATTACGGCAGTGTTTCCTATTAGGGATGCACAGATACCAATACTGGTATCGGGTCGATACCATCGGCTTGTACTTGTACTCATACCATACCCGATGCCACATTTTTCATTTACATTAGCGTCACGACAGCAGACAGCTGCGCGTATTGCACGTGTTGCCATCAGCGAGAAAGCCCTGCAGCTTAGCAGTAGCTTAGCTTAGCCGCCAACTAAATAATAAATAAGATAAGATAAGATAAGATATGCTTTATCTTAACTTAGTGGCAAGCGGACAGGAGTGACAAGAGCAAAGTGGACTGTGTAACTGCCTTACACAAGGCAGTTTTGCTTTGTGTAAGGCAAAACTGTCACAAGGTGGGTCCAAACAAACATGTATAACACCAGCAACTTGAGAAAACATTTGAAAACTCACCACCACGCAGGGTGTAACACCTTTGCTAGCACCAAAGCACAAAAACAACCAACTCTTCTCACTTCTCCAAGTTTGTTGAGAAGATGTCAAGTGTAAATAATACACTGGTTACTCAGATAAAAGTTCATCTACTGTTGCTTTTATATTATTTAAGTTTAAACTTTATGTGTGACATAAGAGCTCTAAAAATCTCTCAGGGCATTGAAACGGCAGCTATTTCTTTGTACCATTTGTATGAATGGAACAGGACAGTGGCTCTTATTATTGACTGTTAAAACAATTGCAAAAAAATTTTAATTGTTAAAGCATTTTCTTATTGTTAAAATTAGAAATAAAACATTATACATTTCAGTTGTATTAGTTTTATGAATTCCCAGGGACAACACAACTCGCATCCGAATTCGGTATTGGCAAATACTCAAATTTAGGTAGTCATGCTCGTATCGGTTTTGAAAAAAGTTGTATCGGTGCATCTCTACCTATTAAGTTAAAACATGTTCAAATATGATTACATTTGAAAAATAACACTGATAATAATGATGATTAAGAGTCATTCAAGTTACTGAAGGTACTGAGTACTTCTGAAGAAATTTCAGAAGTACTGTGTATGTGTGTGTAGTCCCCCCATATTCTCAGTGGGTGTGGAACAGGTGAACCGCAGAGGAAGCCTCGACTTTACTCTTTAAACCTCCACAAGCTCCAGTTATTTCACTCTGGTTTGTGGTATTTACTTTGAGCCTGGATGAGAGATGTTTCCAGTGCCCGCCACACAGGGGATCAGAACCTGGGGTTAAGTGGTTTGAGGGTGCTAAACTCTACAAACACTGGACTAGGATTAATCACACATACCCCTCGTGATCTGGAAACAGCTCAACGCGAAATGGTCCAAATCAACTCCAGCCACTTCACATGTGAAGATTGTATAATTTAACTTAAACTTTTTCCTTTTTTTCTCTTCTCCCACTGAAAATGTCTCAGTAAGCTTTATTCTACTGTATCAACAGTTCCTCCTATAACCTCCTACGTTTCTTTAAGAGGTTTTATAACGTGATCTATTTATCCTTTAGAGTTCAGTTTAATAGAGATATGCAGTAAAACACAAGAATTCAGTTAAACAAGAAAGCACATCTGTGGGACACCTTTGAAGCAGTATTTAGCAGTTATTACAGCCTATAAAATTGAAATGTATACACTGTTCCCTAGTTTAAGGGGTTCTGTGCTCTAATAATATTCCACTATGAGTCAAATGTAAAACCCCTCACCACAAAAGTTTTTCAAACTTCAAGATATTACTGTTCAAAAGTATTTATATTGTCTTTCCATGTGTGTTTCCCGTAGCGGGCACTACCTGTAGCTGATGAACCAGATGATACTGCTTTGACTGCAGAAGGCTCTGGTGAGTGACAGATTCAGAGTCTGTTCCCTGTGGTACAGCCCCGGTCCGGCCACAGTGTCATATCCTGTTTGCCCTTCCACAGACCTGCCCACCTGCCTCCTGTGTGTCTGCCTGACTGGTTCTGTTTATTGCGAGGAGGTGAATCCAGACATGACTGCCGTCCCAGCTTTGCCAAAGGAAACAGCTTATCTATACGCACGCTTCAACAAGATCAAGAGAATCGGCAACAAGGACTTTGCCGACATCTGTGAGTGGAAACATAGGATCTTTATCAGCAGAGAATTATCGGATCACATCTCAGGAACACTCACAAACAATATATGTCTGCTGAGGTGTGATGTAGTGGTCACATACCTGTCTAATAAAAGTCATGTTTCCGTAGTGACACTAAAAAGGATCGATCTGACAGGAAACCTCATCTCTGAGATCGAGGACGGAGCGTTTTCTAAACTCTCGCTGTTGGAAGAACTGACTCTGGCTGAGAACCAACTGGTGAAGCTGCCCATGCTACCGGGAAAACTCACCAACTTCAACGCCAACTTCAACATGCTGAAGACCAAAGGAGTGAAAGCCAACGCCTTCAAGGTGTAGATCTTCACTGTTGTTTGCAGAACTGGATTGAGATCCAGAGAACTGTGAACATAAATCTGCTCTTACAGAGCATAGTTTTAGATCTTTAGACAAACTTCATTCAATTTCCTATGAATGAAGTTTTACCATTACCAAGTCCTTTATACAGAATTTATTTTACAGCCAATAAAGTCCATGCATTGAATTCTAAATCCTAAAATTATGCATTTAAATATATGTCTCAGTCACCACATTTTCTTGAAATAATACAATGACTTCAGGGATTCAAATCTGAGGTATTTTAGTAAAGAAGAGGCTGATTGTCCATCTTTAAGTGACACTGTGGTTCAATGAGCAGTAAATGTAAGGAGTCAAATGCTGAGCTTAGGTTTAGGACTGAGGGATCCTGAAGGTTAACGATTAGCACTCAGGGATCCTGAAGGCGTCCTAGTGTGGCTTTATGAATTAATTTGTATCAGTAGTTTGACAGTGATGGAAATCCATCGCTAATCAATTAAATAATGGCTGTATTTTTCCTTTAAAGAAGCTGACAAAGCTGTCCTACCTGTATCTATCTGATAACCAGCTGGAGGCCGTGCCCCAAATCCCTGAGAATGTGAGGACACTGCACCTACAGGTGAGCGAGAGAACTGCAGAGGCATCAGTGTCTGTGTTCACATGATAATAACATGTTCATGTGTCTTTAACAGAACAACAACATCACAGACGTAAGTGTGGACACGTTCTGTCGCTCCAACGACACGTATTACCTCAGGCCCAGACTCACAGAGATCCGACTGGACGGAAACCCATTGGTCCTGTCCAAGCACCCAGACACCTTCACCTGCCTGAACGTGTTGCCGGTGGGACAGTACCGCTGAGAGATCAGGGTCTGAAGGATTGAAGGACAACCTGGACTGAAGGTGGACCGCTGAAAAGGACTTGAGGACTAAAGGAGGACCACTGAGATAACATGGTCTGAAGGACTGAAGGACCTAACATGGACTGAAGGAGGACCACTGAGATATCAGGGTATGAAGGACTGAAGGACCTAACAGACTGAAGAAACAAAGAAAAAAGGACTGGTGGAGGACCACTGACGACAACTCAGCATGGACTGAAGATGGACCTCTCAAACAACTCCATATGCATGAAAGAAGGACTGCTGAAGACACAGACCAAACATGACCTAAAGATACCAACTATATACGAAATAAGAAATATGAAATAAGAACAATAAGACCCGCTGAAGGCCACTCCAAATGGCTGAAGAAGCTCTTGATAGGCTTAAGAATGACAAAAAAAAACTGATCTGAGTATAAAGCACACACAATCTGGAACAGGCTCCAGGTCAACACCAAAGACACCTGCCTCCACACCAACATGAAAAAGAAAGTCTGGACCTAGAGACTGGGTTCTGGTTTAGTCTTGGCCTCCTTTAGACCCTGTTGTTCCATTGACCCTGCCAGACTGGGACTTATTACAGGAGACGTATTCTGCAAAAATCACCTTTTCTTTTCTAACCATGTTCAAAAGTTGTTCCTCATCAAACACAGACCTAGAGTTGTTTTTAACTCCATCCACACATAACCCCACCCATTCTGTCGAAACGCTCTTTTTTTCAACCCTGTTACACTTTGATGGATCCTCAAACTATGTCATGAACAGAGCAGTTTTGTAATTTTACTTTCTAGTCATCTCTTACTGCATTTTTTTTATGTGTATCCATATATTTTCTACTTAAACTTTCACATTCTACAACATGAAATGCAAAGAAAATCTTCTGAAGGACAAATTGAACATGAGTTTTTGTTCTTGAAATATTGTATCTAGAAAACAGAAGACAGTTAAACAGACTGGACTCTGAAAAGTGTTTATAGAAGTGTAAATAAACCTCATAATGTGTTTAATTTATCTCCTCTGTGAGAGAACTGTGAGCGCATGTATCTGACCTGTATGAATGTCTTTATCAAACAGTGTACAGAAAATGTGGATATTGGAATAAACCATTTTTATAATTAGTCTCTTGCTTTGGGTTAAAAAGACTGAAGCTTACTATGCAGAAAACAACAGTTCTTCAGCTTCTTGTTTGGCACACCAGCTTTAGAAAAAATAATTGAATAAGATCAAAATGATCCCAAACCATGGATCTCCAGTTTTTGCTTACAGATGCCATAAAGTCACAAAAAGTCTAGAAATATTGATGCATCATTAATACCGTAGCGAAATCCAGTGAAAGCTGTCAAACCAAGTGGGTCGAAACTCATTGCTCGTGTTTTGAAGCAGTCAGCTTCAGGAAGAGAAACACAAGCTCCGGAGCGTCTTAAAGAGGGGGATATCCCCCACTTGGGCTATTGCTCGGGGAGACTGATCCCCTGTCTGGAGGAAACCCTGCTATGTCTATAAAAGGTTCTGTGTTTTTGGACTTGTGTTGAAATGCTGTGTTGACTCGGGACAGTGGGGAAGGTTGCCGTGTTTGGACCCATGTTGGCTTTTCACCATGGGGAAGACAGGAATGTGTTAAAATAAAACAAAACAAACTGTAAGTGACCAGAGAGAGAGAGACCAAGGAGAGACCTGAGAGAAACCAGATAAGAGATTACTATGGACTACGGCAAGTTTCTCATCCACGTGGAGCAATATAACGCATTTTTCACAAGGACAAACTTAATGAAGGTAAGAACAGCACATGCAACAGCCAAGCACTCACTGATTGTGAGTGCTTCACTCACCTAAACACAGCACGTCGGCTTGTTACGCTGTAATTATGCAAAAGATTGTTTCTGTGTGACTTGTGTTTTGTTTTAGAACCTTCTTCTTCTGAGCAGCTGCTGAGAAAACACTTTGCTTTTAATGTGTCGAAATTACACCTATATTACTAGGTTGCAAGGTGGGTTAAAGACCCAGTTCTGACATATCTGCCTGCCCGTATCGCTCAGTGGGAATGACGCTTTACTTTATTTGGCCATTGTCATATCTGAATCTGCAGAATTGTGAAAATCGCTCCAATTCTGACAGAAAAGCAGAGTTATGAGTATGTGCCTGTTGTGTTCAATAAAATGCAGATAAAAGCAGAGACGGAGCCAGTAGTGGAGCTGTTGGGAGAGCTGATGGTTGCAGCAGACACATGCACACTCAGCAGAACAGAAGCAATGGAAACTTGGGCCCTCTGAACCACATGGAGCTCAGGAGAGGAGCACACACACTGGGGTTCAGGATTAACCAATTACCTGCCATAACGGCAATTCGACTGAGTGAACATACTGTATCACCGGTTAAATCTGGGGTACGTAACTTTCAGACCACACCAAAATAACTCTGTATTAAACCCATCTCTAGTAGGGCTGCAACGATTAGTTGACATTGTCGTCAAAAATCGATAATTGAAATAGTCGACAATGAATTCCATTGTTGACTATTGTCGCCAGACGTGTTTTTCCAACAGAGTGAGGCATCCCACGTCTCACAAACAATCTCTGCAGAGAGTCGCACATGCGCAAGAGCGTCTATTGAGTGGAAACGTAAACAGTAATGGCGGCGTCCATCAGCTCCATGGATCTATTAGAATAACGATCAGCTCCACATAGAAAAACTTCTAAAGTTTGGGAGCATTGTAGTCTGGATACGGCAAATAAAACGTCTACTTGCAAGGTTTGCAAAGCAGACATTGCGTATCACGGCAGCACCTCGGTGATGCACGAACATTTGAAGAGAAAGCATGAGATACCTTTTTAGATTAGCTTTTGATTAGTATTTATTAGTCCATTTTTATATATTCTATTTATCCTTTATTATTTATTATATTGCTATTGCTTTTATTCATGTTTTGTGTGATAGTTCCTCTCAGGCTCACATTTTAGTGTTTTACTTATTGTATTGTTTTTAAGTATCCCCAGTGTTTCCTCTGGAGGAGCCTTCTGCGCTGGGAGCGGTGGTTGGCTGTGGCTGTGGGGGTCGGACTCTTGGACCTGGTGGGGGCCCGGGGCCTCGGTTTTGGGTCTCCTCTGGGTCCTGTGTCGTCCCCTTTGGCTATGGGCGGCTCTCTGCTCCTGGCGCTGACGGCTCCTTGGATGGCGTTTCTTCAGCCGGTTGCATCTGAACCCTGCCAAGTCTCTTATCGTCGTTTTATTGTTTTATCGGTGCGTGTGTGTGTGCGCGTGTGTGTGTGTGTGGGGGGGGGGGGGGGGGGGTGTTTGCTTGTGGTCTGGGGAGGGTCTGTTGGGCGGTCGGGGGGAGGGCATGGGCAGGATTGTTTTTTAGCCAAACTGTAAAGCACTTTGTGTTGCATCTGTTGTATGAAAAAGCGCTTTATAAATAAACTTTGATTGATTGATTGATTGATTGAGAGAGACCAAGATCCCGGAGCGTGGCCGCTTTGTAGTGAATGAAAGTGGTTCTGTGAAGCTGCTTTGATAACAGTGCGGCGAGCGCGCGGCCAAAGCGAAGCTATACTGTGACCAGGAACAGGAGAAGTGCGGATCTTTGTGGAACCTGTGGACACGATAAAGACAGCGCTGTGAGAAACACAGCTGAACTATGTGAGCCTCTGGAAGTGTCCCCCGTGTCGCCTCCTGTAGCCCAGAAACTTGTTTTTTATGGTTTTTCTTTGCATAATTAAGAGAGAACCATGTTAGTAAATATTCAAATTGGTCTTAGATAATACATTTTTGTTTACTTTTGTAAGAACTAGCCGCAAAGTAGAATAAAAGATGCATTTTTCATTGAAGTACCCATCTTTATTGTGTTTGTTATTATTTGCCACATAATTAAAGCAACTTAGTAGTAATTATCCGATAGTCGACTAATCGTTTCAATAGTCGGTGACTAGTCGACAATAGTCGTTAGTTGCAGCCCTAGTCTCTAGGTCCTGGCTTATCACTTTTTTGCCTCTATCACAAATGCTTTTCAGACAAAAAAGGACCACCCTCACTCAGCCAATCACTTCTCAGCCCAAAGAGTGAAATAATGACTCACTGGGCTCTTTCATGCAAAAGATACACAAAAAGAAAACTGTTTTCTAAACAGATGAAGCATTTTAGGCCTTGACCTTAAGCTTTGTCAGCCACTTTCCATTCGTGCATGTACCTTTTATTATTTTACTTGCCCAATGTCAAAGGTTACTTGCCAAAACATGTCTCACTGCTAGGAGTTAACAAGAGTTTGGCAATAAAGTGGCACTAACTGTGTGGTAAAACCTAAAAAAAGATCCACTCTTAGCCAAAAAAGTCATATAATGACTCACAGGGCTCCTAAGTATGCATAATAAAATACAAGATGTTTGGTTGTTTTATTTGGTCACAACATTTTGTGCACAACCAACATTTAGGTATCCCCAGCTATAATTTTGGGAGTTTTGGTTGCGTTTTGGAAAGATACACAGGGGACTTGCAACAAGATGGGGATGGTCCTGAACGCGCATCTTATGGTTCCGTCCGCACGTCTATGGTCTGCGCTCGGTACCACGTTGCGCATGTACGTTCGCTGAGCTGGTGTCAAATCGGCAATTACTACAAAGCAGTTGCTCCCGGGGTCAGAATGGAGGATGTGGAATCCTATTTGAGAACGTATATTTACAGTCTATGGTACGTACAGCAAACAACAGCAAATGTGGTATCACATTTCATAGAAATTACATTTTCAGCGGGAAAAAGTCGGAAATCACGGATCCGCAGAAAATTATCTTCCCTGGTTTATCCTGATGCATTTCATTGGTCAAGAAAATTTACCAATTAAGAGAATTGGTCAAAAAATAAATAAACAGACGTGTCCACGCCCGGCCCTAGGAGGTAGAAATGCGGGAATGTGTTCCCGGCCTAAATGGGTTAAAGTAATACATCACTTGTCCGATCGGGAAACTTGCTAAGACAGCACACTTGTCCGTCCCAATCCTTTAATGTCGAGCCCTGCATGTTGTTGGACTTTTTTTTATGGAACATTATATGTTGGCCAAACTTATTGATGAGATTGAAGTTATATACCCCAGCTTTAATCAGGCCAACAGTGTGTGGATTAACCGGCTGAGTGTTACCTGGAAGTGGTTGAAGGTCCTTTGGCGCTCGTCACAGCATCTGGAGAAGGTCCTCAGAGTCCTAAAGAACAGCAACAGGTCCTGGCTCTCTTCCACCCTGACAGAGGAATTTACAGACCCTGCTTTAGTTTTTTTTTTTTACAGTGGGGCAAAAAGGTTTACCACCAATTGTGAAAGTTCTTCCACTAACTTTCATCATAGGTATACCTGAACTATGAGAGACGGAATGAGGGGGGAAAAAAAATCTATAAAATACCATTGTCTGATTTTCAGAGAATTTATTTGCAAATTATGGTGGAAAAAAAGTATCTTACAAACAAGCAAACATTTATGGCTCTCACAGACCTGTAAAGGTGCGTTCAGACCGGACTTAACTTCGACTTCAAAAGCATCAGGTTTGCATTGAAAGTGAATGGTGAAGCGCGTCAGGTGACGCCAAGAGGCCCGGCATCACTTGACGCGCGTCAAAAGCTTCAAAAGACGCAAACATGTTCTTGACGCCGAAGTTGAGACTGGCTGAGCCGGGCTTCAACTAATCAGGAGACGAGGAGCAGCATCAGCAGCAGCAGCAGCTGTGGGTCTGTCATGGAAAGAAGTCACGTAGCTGCTGCTGCTGTTTTATTGTCGTTATTGTTATAAGCAATATTATTTGTATGAGTAGTAACGTTCTTAATAAGTGAGTAACAAAATCAACGTACACATGCTGTGAAGTAAAAGTAATTTATTTAATATAAGAACAAGCTGACAATGAGTCTGGCTCAGAGCGAGAGCAAGGCTAGCTCCAGGCGAGAGCAAGGCGAGCTCCAGGCGGGAAGAAAGCTAAAAGCGAAACTCATCCGTACGCAGCTCCTGGAGTAAATGTTGTTTGGCTTTATATAACAAATAATGGCTCGCTGCTCTCTGGAAATTCCACCGTTGTCTTGACTACCGGCAACAGAGAAGCTCCTCCCACTGGCGTCAGGCGCGTCACTCCCAAAGCACCAAAATAACAAAAAAATAACCTGGCATCAGTTGACGCGCGTCAAAAGTGTTTTGAAGCTTTTGGTCTGAACGCTCTTTAACTCCTTCTTTAAGAGGCTCCTCTGTCCTACACTCGTTACCTGTATTAATGGCACCTGTTTGAGCTTGTGAAAGACACCACCACACAACCTCAGTCACACTTCAAACTCAACTAAAGACCAAGACCAAAAAGCTGTCAAAAGACATCAGAAACAACATCAGTAGATCTGCACCAGGCTGGGAAGACTGAAACTGCAAGTAAGCAGCTCCATGTGAAGAAATTAACCGTAGGAGCAATTCTTAGAAAATGGAAGACATACAGGTGGGCAACTGGCTCAGTTGGTAGAGCATTGGCCTTTGAGCCTAAAGGTCATGGGTTCGAGCCCACCGCAAGACCTACTTCACAACTACCACTGATGTCTGCTGTCATTGTGTCCTTGGGCAAGACACTTAACCCCACTTTGTCTGAAGCCTCTGCTGAAAGATCAAGCAGAGTCTACTCTTGTAGACTCACCACCTGCAGGAGGATCAGTGAGGGGCTGGTGCTATGTGTACTGGGTGCAGCTCTGACTGACACCCCCCCGACCCAGAAATGGATTAAGAGGAAGAAAATGAATGGATGTGTGACAAACTGAGGGTACGAATGAATGTTTTAAATGAAAGTAATTAATTAAAACACAAACTATAAGGACACAGATAAAAGGATTGAGTGAGGACAAAAGGTTCCATTTAAGCACATTTTATTAATCAAGTATAGCTTATTTTGTACTTTCTTCTGAGTAGTTTGCATTCTTGGAATATAAATAACAGGAAAGACAGCGTCAGAAGACAGCGTCAAAAGACATAGGTGGTTGTGCTGTGCCGTGCGCCCGGTTCACTCAGGCAGTTTCTAAAACAAAGTCATTACATTTTAATCACATATATAGAGCTAAATGGCAAGTAAGGCCAGTACAACAGACATACCACTTCAGGTTGGACACCTTCTCTAGAGTTCTCACTGAGGAGGTAATGACTCCCAGCTTAGGAGGACCACACACACCCGGTCTACAGTGAAGCGCCACGCAGCTGCGCGTTGAAAGTGCCTCCAGAGCCATCAGCGTCACTACCTGCTACACCAGGGGTGCTCAATATGTCGATCACGATCTACCAGTCGATCGCAAAGGTAGTATTGGTAGTTCGCATTACATTAGAAAAATTATCCGTTTATGCATTTGCGTGTAGACAGAGATAACCGGAGTTTTGCGTTTTCGCACGTCACAGTATGCCCCCAAAACAACAACAAACAAAACGTGCGACCTCTGATCACTGAAGCATGGATCTTACTGCCTTAAAAACTGTTAGTGAACATCCTCCACATCAGAGAGCAGCAAAGTGATCACGGGGACTCACATTCGAAAACAACCAAAACAGGAGCTAAACTAGGATCAAACCAGGGCTGAGGACGGGGGTCAGTGCTTGTAAACATATGTCTTTACCCTGAGTTTCTTTTGTGACTGTAAAAGTGCTGCTACAGAAGTACCGCCGTTTGCATCAAAGCTCCGCCCACTTCTGTGTTTTCCCCAACGCAGGACGTCAGAGGGTGCACATGTTTGGAATGTTATGAATGTGATTGAAAACGCAGATGTTCGGTTATGTGTGGATGCAAATTATTTCATATATCATGCAGTTTTGCATGTACATCAACATACATTGTAGATAAAGAATCCTCAATATATTTTTAAATAAATATATGTTTTGCATTTTTGTAGTAGATAGATCATTTTTACTTGATCATTTTATAAGTAGCTCACATGCTGAAAAAGTGTGAGCACCCCATGCTACACGAAGTACCGACACCCGAACACACACACAAGCCAAGCGACCAGCACCCGGAAGTAGAAACGGCAAGCGGGACAACAAGTGCTGGGGTTCTATAGAGTAGCGTCTGGCGCCCCCAGCTGGTGGGCGGATAAACTGTCCACACTACTACAGATGGATGGATGGAAGACATACAAGACCATAATCTCCCCCGATTTGGGGTTCCACGCAAGATCTCACCCCATGGGGTCAAAATAATCACAAGAACTTGAGCAAACATTCCCGAACCACACGAGGGGGCCTCGTAAATGACCTGCAGAGAGTTAGGACCAAAGTAACAAAGGCAACCATCAGTAACACACTACGCTGCCAGGGACTCGTGCCGGACGTGTCCCCCTGTTTAAGCCAATACATGGCGTCCAGGCGTCTGAAGTGTACTAGAGAGCACATGGATGATACAGAAGAGAATTGGAAGAATGTCACATGATCAGATGAAACCAAAAAAGAACTTTTTGGTAAAAACTCAACTCGTTGAGTTTGGAGGAGAAAGAATGCAGAGTTGCATTCAAAGAACACCATACCTACTGTGAAGCATGGGGGTCGAAACATCATGCTTTTGTATCATGAGAATTGAAGACTTGACTACTGTAACGCACTACTGTTATTGGCAGCATGCCCTAAAACCTCTTTGAAGCGCTTCCAGCTCGTTCAGAATACAGCAGCTAGGATCTTAACAGGTACCAAAAGGAGGGAGCACATAACTCCGGTGTTAAAATCACTCCAATGGCTCCCTCTGGAGTACAGAATAAAGTTTACAATCCTTCTCTTAACATATAAAGCCATAAATGGCTTGGCTCCTTCCTATCTCCAAGACACGTTAGTGTCACATCAACCAAGTCGAGCGTTGTGCTCACAAAACGCCAGACGTCTGGTGGTTCCTAAGGTCTCAAAAATCACTGTTGGCGGCAGAGCATTTAGCTACCAAGCTCCTTTACTGTGGAATCAGCTTCCCATTTATGTTAAGGAAGCAGATACGGTCTCCACATTCAAGGCCAGGCTTAAAGCACTCTACTTTCATTTAGCATATAATTAGGTAATATATAATATATGGTGTATATATTTTATATATATATATGAGTGCCTTGCGAAAGTATTCGGCCCCCTTGAACCTTTCAACATTTCGCCACATTTCAGGCTTCAAACATAAAGATATAAAAAAAATTTGTCATGAATCAGCAACAAGTGGGACACAATCGTGAAGTGGAACAACATTTATTGGATAATTTAAACTTTTTTAACAAATAAAAAACTGAAAAGTGGGGCGTGGAATATTATTCGGCCCCTTTACTTTCAGTGCAGCAAACTCACTCCAGAAGTTCAGTGAGGATCTTTGAATGATCCAATGTTGTCCTAAATGACTGATGATGATAAATAGAATGCACCTGTGTGTAATCAAGTCTCCGTATAAATGCACCTGCTCTTTGATAGTCTCAGGGTTCTGTTTAAAGCGCAGCAAGAACCATGAAGACAAAGGAACACACCAGGCAGGTCCAAGATACTGTTGTGGAAAAGTTTAAAGCCGGATTTGGATACAAAAAGATTTCCCAAGCTTTAAACATCTCAAATGGAAGGAGTATCAGACCACTGCAAATCTACCAAGACCCGGCCGTCCCTCCAAACTTTCATCTCAAACAAGGAGAAGACTGATCAGAGATGCAGTCAAGAGGCCCATGATCACTCTGGATGAACTGCAGATAACTACAGCTTCCTACTTTATCTGTTTAGCATTATTAGGATTTTGACTGCAGTTTGTTCATTGCTATTCACCCGTTTTCCCATTGTCTGTTTCATGGTACGATGACGGGATCTCTGAGCCTGGCCTCCTCCATCTACACCTGCGGACTGCCCCGCCCGACCCGCCTGGGAGGGCTTCAGTCCTGCACCGGACCTGTCCACGTTCAGCGGCCACTGGTCCACGTTCTGTAACTAGCTTAGGTCCTAGATCATTAGCCTGCCCGTCCGGAGGAGCGGATCCCTTTCTCAAATGGGTCTCCCTCCTTGTGGGTTTCCCTAGTTCTCCCCAAGGTTTCTCACTTTTTCCCACTGGGTTTTTTAAGAGTTTTTCCTTGTCGATGCAGGAGGGTCTTGTTGGACAGTTAGTGTCCAACAGAAAGGATTGGTGATGATCAGGACACTTTAGCATTCTACAACATGTATGGACATTTTCTTCTGTGTGTGCTTTATATTTTTCATGTGTTTTAACTGTTGATTCTCTGATCTGTGTTGGTGATTTCAATGGATTTGTTAAGTCCTCTGAGATGACTTCTGTTGTGACCTAGGGCTATACAAGAATTAATTGTATTGTATTGTATTGTATACACTAGGCTTTAGTCACCTCTGTGAAGTTGGCCCCTCATTGATTGCGGACAAAACCTACTGTACATCGTTATCGTTTTATTGCCCAGCCCTGCTCCTCTACAGTCCTGTGCAGTGGGTGGGAGGTGTTGTCCACCAAGGAGGTGATTTTGGCTATCCCCCTACTGTCCTTCACCTCCTCCAAAGAGTCGAAGGAGCAGCCCAGAGCAGAGCTGGACCTCCTGACCAGCTTGTTCAGTCTGCGCCCGTCCAGTTCTGTGCTGCCCGGGGCCCAGCACACAGCAGTGTAGTGTATGGCAGAAGCTACCACAGGGTCATAAAAAGTCCTGAGCAGAGGCCTGCTCACTCCGAAGGACCTCAGCCTCCTCAGATGGAAGAGGCGATTTTGGCCCTTCTTGTACAGGGCATTGGTGTTATGGAACCAGTCCAGTTTATTGTTAATGTGAACACCCAGGTACACGAAGCGGTCCACCAGCTCAATGTCCTTGCCCTGGATGTTTAGCGGTGTGTGGCATAGTGGTTTCCTCCTGAAGTTGAGTACCATCTCCTTGGTCTTACTGGTGTTCAAGCACAAGTGGTTGCGCTCACACCACTCGACAAAGTCTGTGAGAACCGACCGATATTCCAGTTTGTTCCCCTCAGACATACAGCCTACGATGACGGAGTCATTAGAGAGCTTCTGCAGGTGGCAGCTGTATGAGTCTTATGTGAAGTCCTAAGTGTAAATGGTGAAGAGAAACGGTGAGAGAACAGTGCCCTGAGGCCCCCCAGTACTGCAGACTACCACCTCAGACTCACAAATGCAGAGCCGCATGTACTGTGGTCTGTCCGAGATGTAGTCGATGGTCTATGCAGTGAAGTTACACTACCACTACTTCCTCCGTCCTCCGTCTTCCCCCGCAGCAGTGCCGTTCTGATGGTGGAAAAGTGAAAAAACATGCGCACCCAGCAGGCTCCAGGTGGGAGAACGTCTGCTGCAGAAAGTAGACGACGGCGTCCTCTACTCCGATGTTGGGCCTGTAGGCGAACTGTAGTAGGTCCAGGGTGAGGCTGACCACGGAGCAGAGATGGGCTAGGATGAGCTGCTCCATGGCCTTCATCAGGAGGGAAGTCAGTGCCACTGGTCTGTAGTGAGCCGGTTCCTTGGCGTGCGCTATTTTAGGAACCGGGATCACGCAGGAGGTCTTCCACAAGGCAGGGACCTTCTCCAGGCTGAGGCTCTGGTTGTAGATGTGGATGAGGACCTCAGAGAGCTTGTCTGCACAGGTCCTCAGCAGCCTTGGACTGAATGTGGTAGGGATGTGGGAGCAGGGGGGGAGCAGGGGGCAGTGTCTACTGGGCAGCGTCCACTGGGCTGGAGACGTGTGAAGAGGTGGGAGCAGGAAAGGGGGCAGTTAGAGACAAACACAGCAGGATACTAAACATTATGATTTATGAAGGCATTTTTGATGGGTCTAACTCTTCCTCCCTGAACACATCCTTCCCTTGATGTAGTTTTACCTTCCCACAGACTACATAGAGATTGACAATGCTAACCTGCTTGCTCAATGAAGTCCAATAGTGAAGTGCTCATGGTGAAGTCTCCAACTTGCTCTGGCTCATATTGATTTAAATGTAAAAATAAACTCAAGCTCAGTCACTGTTTGTGTCACACCATTTTGGGCTTAAATCTGTGGCTCACCGCTTTCTATCATCCTAGCATTTATAATGCAATATCATATTATATTTGCAAATCCAGATGAGTGGGGGCGGTTCCGGTTAAAAAATGTCCAAAATGAGGTGCGCTGACATGCTTCCAATACCACCTGGGCCAATGGGGGTGGACCCGGAATAAGAATTTGCCAATGCTAATGTATAGCATCTTCTTACTTCTCGAAAACGGCTTTACAGGATGTTCCAAAAGTCGGGTCTTGGCCCATCACTACGTTCCCCTTCTGTCCATGCTGAGGGGAGTGTATTTTTTGGACAAGTCTATTTTAGTCGTTGTGGCTAACGCATTGCGTTTTTTCACATTTTCCAGCCCTCGCTGCCATTTTTTGAAACTGCCCACGGACGGCGAAAGGGGTGGCACATTAGTTTGAACGGCGGAGATAGGCGTGACAATGTTCGTTATTATTTATACAGGGGAAACTCCAAACTAAAGCATCAGAACAAATGGTTACCATGGCGGCGCATGAACATGCTGCGGCTTCTCTCTCTCTTGACAAGGTGACGTTTCTACCCTTTTCTACCCTTTTCTGCAAACTGCATTTGCAGTTTTTGTGATCCGCATTGTTTTGCAAGATGTTGTTGTACATCTTTTCCATGTTTTTGTGGAGTTCAGCGGATTTTTTACTGCCAAAGCTCTTTGCTAGCAATGAACAGAGGATGTGTTTTTAAAAGTAAACACACAGTTAGCATCTGAGCTAAAGGCTTTTTGAGCAGTATTTAAGACCTACAAATCCAGAGATATCATCTTCTGAAGCGCTGACAGGTCACCGAGGGCCCCACACATCTGCAGCACAGTGGAGGCGTCACAAGAGGCGCTACAGGAGTCCCGGCCTCCGTTGTGTGCAACTTCTACAGAGGGACTGTAGAGAGCATCCTGACCAGCTCCATCACTGGGTGGCACGGCACTAGCACTGCCTCCTGCCGAAGGAGCCTCCAGCGCATCGTGAGAGCAGCAGAGAAGATCTGTGGAGCCCACTGTACTCCACCCGTCTCACCCGCAAAGCCGTCAGAATCACCAGGGACCCTACGCACCCATCACACAGGCTCTTCAGGGTAATGCCTTCAGGGAGGAGACTGCAGAATTTACGGAACAGTTCCAGTCGACTTAAAAACAGTTTCATTCACAAGGCCATCAGGAAGCTGAACCCCCTGCCCTCCCTCCCACCCCTCTTCCCCCACCCCCCGCTCCACAATCAAGGATGAGAGAAATATAATTTCAAACCATTCACTTGGTTTGACAAATAAAAATCTTGAAATCTTGAAAATGCCCATATAAGAAAACATAAGCTAGGCCTCCAATTTAAGGCTAACACTATGGTGATGTCACACTCGCTCAGTCCACTCCTGGTGTGACGTTTTACCTGGAGAGAAAGCTGCTGAAGCCCTGCAGGTCACTGTCCTCCAGGACGATGTTCAGATGACTGAGTGAACGCTTGGTCTGAGTCCCAAACTGTGGACACACAACCTTTAGAGACCAAACTATGAAGACTCGTAACAATACTAGTTTCAATATTCAACACATATCAATGTTGGAGCAAGAAAGCTGGGATACATAAATGTAATCGCAATAGGACTGGGAAGACAAAATTTGATATTCTAAAATAATTTGAATATTAACAAAAGATAATGACATTCAAAACAAATATTAGACAACCCTCAATAATCAAATATTATACCGGCATGATTTTTGTGTGCATTAGCTTGCTAGTTAGTTATTTTTTGCTTAAGATTCTTTGAGGCTTTGCTAGTACAAGGGGCCTTCCCCTACGCCCGTCATAAAAGAGCATCGGATCTGCTTACACAGGCCATTTGCCTAGATCTAAAGCCTTTTAACCTTTACATGCTTGTTTATAAGAAAAGTGAAGACGACATCTGATCTAAATAAAGAATTGGGATTGATACATAGCATGGGCTTGCAAAGGGTACATAAGTGTGACAGAAGGCCAAAAATGAGATTTTAAAGGTGCCATATTTAGCTTTTCTACATTTTTCACAGTCCATCTATGCGTGATAATAATTTTGGTGATACACCATACAACACTCAAAGCTTGTCAAATCATAGTCATTTTGTGCATAGAGGTTATGTCACCTCATGTGAAACGCTTGGATCAGTGCTCCTCAGTCTTTGAGCCTGCCTGCCTCCCCCCCGCCTGCGTGGTGACGTAGCATCATGCTATGTTCAAGGTAAACAAGAGCTAACTGTACAGCTTTCAATGTGACAGTCATTTCACACCTGAGAGTAAACTTTTTCCAACAATGGTAACCCGTCACAAAGAGCCCATGTCCTCAATCCAGAATCAGACCCTAATTATTTAGTTCACAGTGACATACGACGAGTTAGCATCAATGTACACACAGACAGAGGTTCCTGTTAGCGTCTTTTATGTTGGAATAACCAAATCAGCTATTGAGTAGGTCCCGTTTTAAGGTCACTGTAGTTCTGGAACAGTCTTAGCTGGTGTCAAAGTTTTGTTGCGGATTTCAGACTCGTGCGGTTAAGAGGCAGATCCCCGTGAACAAAGTCGATCTCCATTCTCCGCCTTCGGGCCAAATACTCTCGTCACATATTTACACCAACAACACATTTTCTCCAAATTGACATGAAGCTAACACAGAAAAGCACAGACGCTTATTTTCTGTCTATGGACCACACGCTGGACTCGGAAAGAGGCAGCATGGTCTGACCATAGACGGCGCGGATTTGCTGGTTCAGTTTTTCCCTACTGTCAATCACCTCTTGGAGGCGGGCTTTTGACGTCACGGATTGGTGCTCGTCATGATTTGAAACAGCTTGTTTCTGTGCCTCTCGAGAACGAAAGAGAAAGATCGCTTTCTCAGTAAAGCTTGGGGGAATCAATTAAAAAAAACTACTCTGGGCATGAGTATGAAGGCCAAACAGCACTGTAATCATGTTTAAAACGAGTCAAAAAGCGTAATATGGGACCTTTAATAATCAGAAGATATATTATGTTTTTCATTTATCCAAATACCTCTTCTGTCCATTAGTAGTTGCTAGAAGATAACTGGTTTATAAATTAGTCAAGTTTCCTATAGTGGCTCTGTTTATTTGTGTAACGGATGTTATGCCTTTGATGGAATGAGCTATGCGGAAGTTTGTTACATATTTTCAGATGTCCACTTTTTATTCATAGATTACATTTTTGCGTCCTCTAGCCTCTACAGCGCTGCTAAACACCAGGGCTTCGACTTAAAAATTTGAATATAATTCTAAAATAAAAATTATATATATATATATATATATTCAAACAAATATTAGACAGCCCTTATCATTCGAAATGTATTTAATGACTGCAAATAGAATAGTTAGCTCCCAAAGGTTTCACCGGGACGTGTTAGGCAGGTAACAGCTAAGCTAGCTAGCGGTTTCATGGTAACTTCCGGGTTTTTCGCGATCGCTTTTTGTCACTTTAAAACAGTATTTCTGTCGGGAAAACGTTGACAGCAAATTCTGAAATTGTCCGTGCATGTGTGTTAAGGATGTATATGTGTACTGTATTGTCCGGTTAATGTTTAATGGTGTTGATTGATTGATTGATATGTATTTGTTTATTGTATATTAATACATTCGGACGCAAAACTAGCGGTATTCTTTTACTTATATATTGTGTTAGCAGTGCATTGCTTTTGTACCATTTCATCAGTGATTGTTGTACAGCTTACAAGAAGTTGCGCTAATGCTAATGTTAGCATACGTATCAGATCGCAAATAAAACTAGGTGGCTCCATGGGATGAGAGCGTAGGGGAAATGAGAAGCCATTGAGCGAGTTGGGGGGCGGTGCTAAACATTCAAACATTGCAGAAACGGGTATAGCCTTTAAGCTTTATGTGATCATCTTTTGCAGTGTGTTGTCAGTCTCAAATTATACATCATGTCAGGATTAAGTTGGGCTTAAGCCAGACAGTCCAGGTAACATTGTTGCTTCTTGGGAGAACAGCTTCACGTTTTACACATCTGTTTAATGCTCCAGTCAAATATCACCGAGCTGGAAACTTCACTTGTGCCCCCCCCTTCACTTATCTGTCCCATCTCTCACCTTCAGCTCCGACAGCTGGAACTCCACCTGGAAGCTGAGGTCAGAGCAGACTCCAGAGACACAGAACTGATGAGAGCTGTTGCTGCCCCCTGCTGGAGAGAGAGCACACACTCAGGAAACACTCATACATGACCCGATTTATTAAAACATCATGTACTGGACAAAGAGGGACATGGGCTACAGCAGATTTAGGCCATGTCCTGATGCACTTACAATCATCAAGTCATTTGGGGCATCTAGAAGCGTTGCATATCTAGAGACTAAAAACTTTGCCCATTCGTGGACTCAGGCAAAAACATTTATTTTTGTTTGGGAGATTATTTGTTTAGTTTTCCGTTTTGTTCGTTTCAAAATGAATGCCTTATAGTTTAGTATGGAGATATATTGTATAATTGTGAAGAGAGAGAGTGATGCATTCAGCAGAGGCAGTAGGAGAGGTGAAGGGTTGGGACCATGTCTTGTCTGTGTGTATGTCTTTACATATGTTCATTTTGCCTTTCTTCTCTTCTCTCCTAACCCCAGTCTCCTCTCCTAACCTCTCTGTGCGACCGCCTCCTCCTGCGTTCTCTGAATTCTGCGTCTCGTACAGTGGTCCACTCTGATCCCGTTCATCTGAGTCTGTCTCCTCACATCCTCCTCCAGCTCCAGCACCTCCTCCTGCAGCCGTGACACCATCGCCTGGAACTCTGAGGGAACAGCAGCCCGCGCACACAACAGCGCACTGAAGAAGAGAAAGGCAGGACACAAGAGATGTACAGTTATACCCAATCCTGTAACATCTGAAGATAAGCAGGGTAGGACCTGGTTAGAACTCTGATGGGAGACCTCTAGGAACACCAAGCGCCACTGTGGGGCGTGTGTGTGTGTACGTGTGTACACTGGATGCCTTGCTTCTATCACTCTGCTCCAGGACAGCTGTGGCTACCGCAGCTTATAACCACCATATTTAGGCTAAGTGAAGTGTCTGAGAGCTGCCAAAGAGCGCTGTATGAATAATTATTATTTACAAACCGTTAGTATAAAAAGGGAATGAGCGATAGAATACTTGACCACTAAAATAATCAAGCTGCACCCCTATTAAGAGCTCTAAGACTAGATTCTGAAATGTGTGGAAAGTGTAAAAGCAGACATGTAAGGCAAGGCAAGGCAAGTTTATTTATATAGCACAATTCATACACAAGGCAATTCAAAGTGCTGAACAATATAAGAAAGCATTAAAATCATAAATAATCACAGAACATTAAAAAGAAAGATAAAAATATAAAATCCCTCAGTTGTATGCACAGCTAAACAGAACTGTTTTTAACCTGGTTTTAAACATTGTCAGAGAGGAGGCCTGTCTCACATCTTCAGGAAGACTGTTCCAGATTTCAGCAGCATGAATCTAAAAAGCAGCCTCCCATGTTTAGTTCTGACTCTGGGCACTAACACGAGTCCAGTCCCTGTGCTCCTCAGAGTCCGGGCTGGTTCATATGGGACTAACATGTCACTAATATATTTTGGTGCGAGGCCATGGAGAGACTTGTACACAAGAAGGATCAAGACAGATCCTTCCAGACAGTTGCTCCTCGCCTTTGGAATGAGCTTCCTCAGTCTCTGCGTATCGTAGAGACTGTTGATGATTTTAAGTCCCAACTAAAGACACATTTGTTTGGACAGGCTTTCTCGCACCATTGTTCATAGGCCTCTGTGAATGTAAATTGTGTTTTCAGTGTTTGTTTTATCTGACTTGTATGTGTATTTTGTATTTTAATGTGTGAAGCGCTTTGTGATCCTGGTCTGTGAAAGGCGCTATACAAATAAACTTTACTTACTTACTTACTTACTTACTTAAGCAGAGCTGTTTTAAAGTCTATTCTCTGAGTCACAGGAAGCCAGTGCAGAGACCTGAGGACTGGACTAATGTGGTCGTACTTCCTGGTTCTAGTCAGGACTCGAGCTGCTGCATTTTGAATGTACTGCAGCTGTTTTACAGCCTGTTTGGACAGACCTGTGAGCAGGCCATTGCAGTAGTCTAACCTACTGGAGACAAATGCATGGATAAGAATCTCCAAGTCTGCTTTAGACACTATGTTTTTGATCCTGGCAATGTTTTTTAGGTGGTAAAAAGCTGCTGATGTTACTGATTTGATGTGGCTATTAAAATTTAAGCCTGAGTCCAATAGTACCCCTAGATTTCTGACCTTGTTTGAAGGTTTTAGGGAGAGAGACTGGAGGTGACAGATGACGCTCTCTCTTTGTTTATGGGGACCAAAGACAATCATTTCAGTTTTGTCTGCGTTTAGCTGAAGGAAGTTGTTTTGCATCCACTCACTGATCTGTTGGATACAGTGAAGGAGTGAGTCCACTGGTCCATGTTCTCCTGCAGTCAGTGAGACATAGATCTGAGTGTTGTCTGCATAGTTGTGATAGGACACTTTGTTTCTGCGTATTAACTGACCTAACGGCAGCATGTAGAGATTGAACAGAAGAGGTCCCAGGATCGACCCATGTGGTACTCCACAGGTCAGGGCCATATGATATGAGACACAGTTTCCAATCTCCACAAAGTACTTCCTGTCTTCAAGGTAAGACCTAAACCAACTTAGCGTGGTGCCAGCGACACCAACCCAGTCCTCTAATCTGTGTAAGAGGATCTCATGGTCGACAGTGTCAAAGGCAGAACTTAGATCTAACAAGATTAAGATTGAGACTTTGCCTGCGTCAGTGTTCAGCCGGATATCGTTTGTAACCTTGACGAGAGCAGTCTCAGTGCTGTGGTGGGGTCTAAAGCCGGACTGAAACATATCAAATGAGTTGTTGATTATAAGAAATCTAGTAAGCTGTAGGTAGACAACTGGACAAATGTATGGTTTGTTTGCGCACAAAATATTAGCTCTTTAACATAAAACACATATGTTCAGACTCACAGGGCCTGCTCCATGTTCCCTCTGAAGTCCAGGTCCATGATCTTCTGCTGATCCAGAAGCTGTTTGTGCAAATGGGAGACTTCAGTCTCAAGAGACAGTAGCTCGGACTCCAGCTGGGCCTCCATCTGCAACACAGGGAGACAGGTCAGGTCTGTGGAGAAGAGAGCCATGTATCACAATGCATTGAAAATAATCAATTGGTGTGCAATTGATTATTTTCAATGCCACGGCTCAACAAGGCTGAGCGAACTTACTACCACTCTAATTCATGGCAGACTTACGTATAACGTGTAACATAAGCAAAATATGCAGGCATATTGAATATGTTTAATTAGCAACACTAACGACTTTGCTGAGTTGTGGTCGAAAAAACGCTAGCCTTACTCCGGTCAATTATTTGAAATTAGTGGTTTGGAAAGACCACAACATATCACAGCATCACCGAAAACTAGCGTAAGCTATGTTTTAACAACCCAATACTGGGTCACAGGTCACGTACCCCTTCAGACGCGCCTTTGTGTTGACAATTAAACTGTAAAAGTGAAATATTGTCCAAAATCTGGAGTAAAGATCCACAACACTGATATTTCGTAACAGTTCCGTCTTTGGCGCCACTTATGGACTAAACCACAGCGCATATGAGTGGGGGAAACATGGGGAAACGAAGCGGTTGAAATCCTGGGAATCTTTTATTTACAATAAAAACGTACATTTAGTATAATTAATCCTATTATATGTCTGCAAACTTTAAACTTTACAACGGATTATACAATTTATATATAATAAAAATAACTCTTCCAGGAGACGAATTGATAGGAAATCCAAATTCTTTTTAAAATAGAATATTAAGCATTTTTACGTGCATATATAGATATTATGTTATTTGTACTAATATCTACATTCGGATCAATTTTGTGGAACTATCGCGCAGGTCGTGCAGGAAGTAAGTAAGTAGACGGGGGACGAGTGAGCGTGAGCACCAGCCGCACACGTGAGGTAAACAAACACGTTATTTGTGATTTTAAAACTACGGGATTTGGTTACAACAGTTAATTTATGTTAAATGGGGATTGTGTTTATGTTATCTGCATTGTGATAGTGTGAAGCAGCTGTAGTGAAGCGAAAGGTGGAAGGGTTTGAGTGTCAGAGATCCGTTACGGGGAGATCGCAGCTCATTTAGTATCATGTGTGTTACCAGAGAGAGACCAGAAAGCGAGGTTTTAACCTTCTCTACTTTTGAGATCTATGAACCGTAAATGTGATGGAGCCTTTCTACTTCACACTAACAAATCATTTATTAAGATCTAAATGTATGTCTTGCATTGAGGAAAAAATATGACAAATATTTCAAAAGAGTTGTTAAAAGTAAAAACATTTTAAAGACTAGTAATCATTTATAAATTATATACATTTAAAATTATTAAATATTATTTCCATCTTCGTCATAAACTAGTGAAAAGAGTATGATTACAACTTATGTTGTGTTGAACAAAATATGTATCTGTTCCCTCTCTACACACCTCTTACAGGTGGTCTCCTGTCTCTGAGGGACAGTCTTCTTCTAGAGACACGGTGTGTAGGAGGTGTGTAGGAGGTGTGTAGAGAGGTTCGTTGAGAGACACAGCCCTCTGAAAGAACTGATGTTTGAACAGTGTAGTTTGTGCAGTTTTCAGACTCTTTTTGTCTTAACCTGCTGCAGATGGAGACTAGGCGGCTCTATGTTGGAGGCCTCAGTCACTCTGTGACAGACAAAGACCTAAAAGATCGGTTTGGAAAGTTTGGGAAAGTGGAGAGTGTGGAGCTGAAGACCAGAGCGGACGAACAAGGTTTGAACTTGTCACTTTACTAACTTATTGACGTAATTACCAAACAAAACTCTTTGACCTCCTTTCTGCTTCTCAGGAGTTCCATACAAAACATTTGGTTACATAAACATCACCCTTTCAGACTCTGACCTAAAGAAATGTGAGTAAATCTGATCTGTTTAAAATAGTGATGTTTTATCTTAGGGCTGAGCGATATGGCAAAAAAGTAAAATATCGATTTTATTTCCTGCTTTGGACGATTTCGATTTTAAATTGATTTTCATTAAAGTCACTCAAGACAAACTTAAAAATACTAAAAATATGTTTTGATTGTTACGCTAAATATTCAAGTTTCAAAACTATTTTTAATTTGTTTCCCCCAATACGTATTATAAAAGTCTAGTACAGACTTTGCATGAAGTATAATTCATGTGTTGCTGGAACTCTCACAATATCCTTCATTCGATTTCACGAATTAAATTTTTTCAAAAGCCGATTAATTGCCTAAATTTGATTTATTGCCCAGCCCTATTTTATCTATTATTTTATGTACCTTGAATTATCATTTGAATAATCTTTTAATAAATAATGTGGAAAAGTGAATTGGCTTACAGTGTACAATTGCTTTTTTAGTTGAAAACGAGTAGTGTTATATTTCCCACTTGAGGCCAAATCCATCCATCCATCCATCCATTTTCTTCCCCTTAATCCATTTCTGGGTCAGGGGGGTGGCAGTCAAAGCTGCACCCATTCCACATAGCACCAGCCCCTCACTGATCCTCCTGCAGGTGGTGAGTCCAAAGGAGCCTTGATATTTCAGCGGGGGCTTCAGACAAAGTGGGGTTAAGTGTCTTGCCCAAGGACACAACGACAGCAGTGGGGGTTGTGAAGTAGGTCTTTTTGGTGGGCTTCACCAACCTTCAGGCCCAATGCTCTACCAACTGTGCCACTGTCGCCCTCAAAATGATGCAAAATGTATATTGTTAACATGATTTCAGTTAGGCCCTCCGTTTAACTGCTAACTCCGTTATGCTTCCGTTTCCTGGTTGCTGTAGTTTTTCTAGTACAACTAACAGTGGCAAAAACACAGGTAAAGTAGCTCACACAAATAAATCGCGTGATTAAAAAAATGACGGCGTAAATATTGATTTGCATTAAAAAGGCAATATTTTGGACAGCACTAGTTTAAAACTGTCTTTAATCCTTCTGATTTGATCCCAGGTCAGACTGTTCTGAACAAGTCCCAGTGGAAAGGAGGAACTTTGCAGATCGAACCGGCCAAAGAGAGTTTCCTGCAGCGGTGAGGCACAAGAAACGGAGACATTACACAGTATTACTAAAAGGAGGGAGCCTCTGACATGAGCGGTTACATACAGTGCCTCTCAAAAGTATTAATACACACTTTTGCACATTTTGACAGGTTTACAACCATTATCATAAAGTTTTTTTTTTCATTTGTTTACTGAAAGTTCACTCACAAGTTTCTGACAACTGTGAAGTGAAAGTATGAAACAAAATTAAATGCTCCACACACGTTAAAATACATGTATATTGGTTATTCATACTTTTAGATAGCTGTATAATTTTAAGTTAAATGTGGGTAACTAACTGTTACTAAGTTTTTAGACATCGTAAGTTAATTTTACTAAGTGTAAAGTTTAAATTGAATGTCATATGAAAGCTTGGATTAAAGAAATTATTAATTTGTTAGCATAGAACGCAATTCTTCAATTAGTCATTTATGCTTCTATCCAAGTAACATCAAAATGTATTTACACACATACAGCATATATATTTCAAAATTTACACTTAAATACATTTTCCCGACGTTTTGGTGTGTACCACAAAGAATTATGGGCAATATTATGGAGCTATTATTGTTTCAATAATATTTGTGTGTGCGTAAAAAGATTTGTGCGTGCGTAACCAGATTTGTGTGTGCGTACCCAGATTTGTGTGTGCGTACCCAGATTTGTGTGTGCGTAACCAGATTTGTGTGTGCGTAACCAGATTTGTGCGTGCGTAACCAGATTTGTGTGTGTGTAAAAGAAATATTTGTGCGTGTGTAAATAGATTTGTATGTACGTATCAAAATTTGTGTGTGCGTAAAAAGATTTGTGTGTGCGTAAAAAGATTTGTGTGTGTGTAAAGAAAAAAAAAAGTACGTTTTACACACAAGTTTTTTTTTACACACGAATCTTTTGACGCAGTCCTGCCTTCGCAGATTCGCAAGTGTAACTTGGACTGTGTGCGTGCGTAAACAGATTTGTGTGTGTGTAATTTGACATTTGTATCTGTAGCAGAACAATCTGTGTGTAAATAACCGCGTTGTACAAAGAGAAGAACGAAAAAAGCCTAAGTGCTACGCACAGGCTCTGTTTTACACACGAATCTCTTTTTGACACACCTCTGCCGCCAAGCGTGTGTCAAAAAGATTTGTAAGTGTAATGTGGTTGTTCTAGCAGTACACCAGCAGATGGTGCTGTTGTAGCTGGTTATTACCTACACGCAAGCAAACCAACAAGTGTAGATAGAGAAAACCGAAGGATTTAAGAAGAAGAAAAGTTCAGGATGACAAGGAACACTAAAATTCCCACAAAATCCGACCTTTATGAAAGCTGTAGGTTATCTGTCAGCTGTTTTAGTTTACTTTGAGTTCTATGGGGAAAATTTCTGTGTAGCCAACGTGAATTTAGTCTGCAGTACGTGAGAATCCTTCAGCTCCAAGCTAGTAACACCTATCCAGTTATTATAATAGATCCATGTATCATACAGTGGTGTGAATGACAGGATTTTGAAAATAGGAAAAAAATATAAACAGCTGCGGTAGTGTGTCTTGTCAAGGCAGTAGGTTTTGGTTTGCTTGCGTGTAGGTAATAACCAGCTACAACAGCACCATCTGCTGGTGTACTGCTAGAACAACCACATTACACTTACAAATCTTTTTGACACACGCTTGGCGGCAGAGGTGTGTCAAAAAGAGATTCGTGTGTAAAACAGAGCCTGTGCGTAGCACTTAGGCTTTTTTCGTTCTTCTCTTTGTACAACGCGGTTATTTACACACAGATTGTTCTGCTACAGATACAAATGTCAAATTACACACACACAAATCTGTTTACGCACGCACACAGTCCAAGTTACACTTGCGAATCTGCGAAGGCAGGACTGCGTCAAAAGATTCGTGTGTAAAAAAAAAAACTTGTGTGTAAAACGTACTTTTTTTTTTCTTTACACACACACAAATCTTTTTACGCACACACAAATCTTTTTACGCACACACAAATTTTGATACGTACATACAAATCTATTTACACACGCACAAATATTTCTTTTACACACACACAAATCTGGTTACGCACGCACAAATCTGGTTACGCACACACAAATCTGGTTACGCACGCACAAATCTGGTTACGCACGCACAAATCTTTTTACGCACACACAAATATTATTGAAACAATAATAGCTCCATAAATATCCTTCGCCAGAGTCCGCATAGATGCAGGCTACGGCAAAATGTGGATCAAGGGCGCAAAGGGGGCGGGGCCAAAGACCTTCCTGGAGAATTGGGACACTCTACGCACTCGCACCCATCATCTGGAACGCGCAAATGTGGGGCGTGAAGGTGGAAGTGCGAGTATTGGAACAGGGCCTTGACCTGAAGATTTGAGGAAATGGGAGGAGTCTGCTCTGCTCCTGCTGAGGCTGATAGAAAACCTGCAGCCGCGGCGGCCCTTTCTGGACCGGTTTGGACACCTCTGCCCCAATTATTCATCAATGGAGGACGACGGAGAAGGCAAGACAGGAGAATTAATAAGAAGCACTTAGGGCTGGGCGATTAATCGATTTTAATCATTAATTCGAGTTTTACGTTTAGGGCGATTTCTTTTTTTAAAAATTCGATTTTTATTTTCTCCAGCGCAGAACTACAGCACTAACCCCGGGTCTATGGTGTTGAGCAGTCATTTTGAAGCTAACCTAATGCTAACAGTCTCCCTCTGGCCTGATGCTCGCTCTCACAGTTGGTGCTGTTGCAATAACACTTCAAACGTTCAAGAATCAGACTTTATTTAATCGCCAAAACACACACACACACGCACGCAAGCCCCGGTCGCTATGTTCGTACGCCATGTTCGTACGCCACATCTTTCACGCTCTCTCACGCTCGTTATTCCAAAGCGCACTCCCGTGTCCGTGGCGCGCACACACTCGTGTCCCACTGAGCCGCTGCACTTTGGGGAAAGACACGTCTCACACATTGCTCTCATTGCTCTGATACAAACAACGTGTTCCCCGCTGTCTGTTAGCTACAGTAGCTGCTACAGTAGCTGTTAGCTACAGTAGCTGCTACAGTAGCTGTTAGCTACAGTAGTTGCTACAGTAGCTGTTAGCTACAGTAGCTGCTACTACAGTAGCTAGCTACAGTAGCTGTTAGCTACAGTAGCTGCTACAGTAGCTGTTAGCTACAGCACATACATCCATGCTACAGCATCAGAATGTAAACAGGAAGCTCGCACAATGCGGGAGTCACTGAAGTTAGTATTAGCGCCACCAGCTGGACCGAGCGTTGTACTACAGCACAGTTACTCAGGCACAGTTGAAAGAACAAGCATGAAAACCCGAGGAGGCTTTTGGAAAAGACTGTCTGTTACAACATTTCTATTTTGAGTAATCAGTGCATGTGTGTGCAATGCATGTGTTTAATAGGATTTATATATTTGCGATGGGCCTTGTTTGTGTGATTTAAGTTATTTTGAAGGTGCATAGTGTCATTGTAAGTGAAGTTATTATAAAACTGTTAAGCTACATTTTCACTGTTTACAATGGCAGAACCATCTCGTTTACAAGCATGTTTTAAGGCTTAATTCCTGTTACACTTATGCTCCATGGGGATTTAGATTAAACTGCATAAAGGAAAATCTATTTCTTTGTCAGTTGTAGTTTGTTTTTAAATAGAAAAAAATAAATCGATTAAAATCGAAAATTGGATTTGGTGTGAAAAAATCTGAGATTTTTTTTTTTTGCCATATCGCCCAGCCCTAGAAGCACTTCACAATGAAAACACTTATAAACCGGAGTAGTTTGCACACATTGCAAAGTGGAGCTAGCATCTCATAATAGCACCAGTTTGATTCTGCAGCACCTGACGAGGAAGCATCGAGGGAAGACCCGAGACGAGGTAAATAAAATGTTATGTTTTGGTGTAAGGCATGCGTTGTGAAAGTAAAATGTTGATAATTATGATACCACCTGAGGACGAGTGTACCCACTCCCACGAAAATGGTTGAAAACAATAAATGTAGCCGCTTGCTGCCTTCAGTTAGCTTTTAATTTGTTAACGCAGTGATGAAGCAGAAAGGTTTATCGGTACCTACTGTACATAAGTATGTACATGTATAATGAATGTTTCACCTAATTTCACACTCACTATAATCCTAGTGAAGTAAAGTGACAGTGACACATGTGTTTCTTTATTGCATATTACAATTATTGCAGAGATACACAACATGTGAGGTCAGGTCAGCAGTATTTGTTATCTAATATAGGACATTGAATCTGGAAGGGGTCTGCGATTGACATTTAACGTCTGCTTTTCCCTTTCTTTCAGTACTTTCTGTTTAGGACTAGTTCCTGCTCAAAGGACCTTCCTGCTCTCAGCACAAACAGCTGTTCTGTCAGATAGTATTTTCAATATGCTGGTACAGGTGCAATCGCCACTGCCTTGTCTTAATTTGAACATTTGAGTGCAATAAACTGTATAAAATGTAAAAACAGTTGTCATTATTAAATGGTTTTAATTTCTTAAGGAGCACAACAGAGAGGTCAAGGATAAAGTTGTGGAGAAGATTAAAGGAGCTACACCCAATTCTGCAAGGTTTTTTTCAGTTTGAATCTCTTGCACCCCCCCCCCCAACTCGCTCTCGTTTTGAGAAACCCTCCTACTCTCCCCTACGCTCTCCTACCACGGAGCCATCTAGTTTTAGGAGTGATCTGATAGGTATGCAAACATTAGCAGTAGCACTAGGGTTGCACAATATATTTAATAAATATCGTTATCATGATAATGGTGCGTGCGATATCCATATAAAAAAGATCCGCATTAAAAAAAATAGTAAAAATAAAAACAATTTCATTTCCTTTATTAAAGACAACAAAACAGACAAATCAACATTCAACAAGAACAACAAACAAACAAAAGTATAAATATATGCATTTGAATGTCATTAATGTTGTGCTTATTTTTTTGTTACTTGTCTCTTGCGTTTCAATGCAAAATATTGCAATAATATCGTTATCAAA